TGCAATGAATATTTATTTTTTCAAACATTTTGATTTTTTTTTTTTTTTAAAAATATTTTATATTTTGACCGTTTGGTACAAAAAAAAGTTATCATTATCAAGTGCTGCTCGAAAATAAAAATAAATTATTATTAATATTAAAAAAAAAAAGGTGTTTTGCCCGCGAACTTTATAGGTAAATATAATAATAATAATAATAACAACAGCATCAATAATAACAACAATAAAAATATATATATAGCCCGTTGGTAATTTGTTTTTGAGACTACTGGTATAGTACGAGTATAATATTATATATATAATAGTTTAATAGTATATTTAATCTATGACCAAGTCCGCATTAAGGGGAGGGGAAGAGGGGGTCATGGCCCCGGGCCCACAACGGATATTAAACATTAGTGGGCCCCTGGCAGATAGTAGGTTTTTGTTTTTTTAGTTTGTATAAAAAATATAGAACGAGCAGTTCTCAAGAATATTTAAATAGTTTTAAGGTTTTGTGTTCAGTGAGTGATTTTTTGGAGGTAATTAATACCGATGATTAAAAGGCTTGTTTCCCAAAATGCAAGGAAAATTATTTATACAAATAACATTTTTATTTTTGTATTTAAAAAAGCAAGAAATAAATTTATAAATTAGATATAATATTTTTTTTTGTCTTTGAAATATATGTGCGAATCACCATTTTTTTTATTATGGTTATGGGCAACTAAAATTGTTTGGCCCTGGGCCTTAAATTTTCATAATCCGGTCTTGTTTATGACTTAGATGAGTGCTCACATCCAACACTGAAAAAATTGCAAGTTGCAAACAGTGCAGGTCTGCGAAGAGATTATTTCGTATTTTATTACTCCGGATTCGTATGCATTTTAACTATTCAATTTATTTTCAAACGTATTATAATTTTAGATGATTAAAACTCGAGTAATCACGGATTATAGTTTCGAGTTAAAAATATACTACCAATTTCGTTTCTATTTTATTTATTACTATACCTTATTTAACACATATTTAACTTTCCTTATGAGATTAGAGAGGTATTAAATATTTGATTATCACAGGTTAATAGTTTTTATTTCATAATAATATATAGTTTATAATATAATATTATAAATAACTTTTCTAGAGGTGTATAAATAATTCAGGTACCAACTATCTAAAAAAATTCAAATTGTCTTAAAAGTTGAAAGTTTAAATGTTATATGTTATCTAATTAAAATATTAATTATTAATACATTATATTTACAAACTATATCGAAATCTACTAATTAAGTATATGTTATGTTTTATTCTCATGATTAGTAATTTCATAATCCCGACACCCGAGATAAAAGTGTGGCTTGAACTTGACATATTTTCGATCGTTTTTATATAATTTTTTCATCTTGGCAAAAGTTTATTTTGAGTACTATTTATTCTCAATAAATAATATAACATATTTTTTAATTTTGTGATACTATTATTTTAAAAATAATTTAAAACTTCTTACTATATATATGACATGTAATTAAATATTATGTAGCTGCATACTATTTTTTCTGCTAATGCTTTTGAAAGTAAAAAACTACATTACATAAAAAGTTAAAATGTTTAACTTTTGTAAAATTAAGAATATTTAAATGTATTTAATACAATCAATAATTTTTTATTCTTTATTGGTACAACCACATTTCAAAACTTAATTAGAAAAATGTGTTATAAAGTGAGATTTATCATTATTTTTTTGATTGATCTACTCATAATATAATACTATACTACCTATATACTATTATATATATATTGACTTGATACTAATATTCAAAACAATGTACACATTTAGATTGTGTGGGTTTTGGTTTCTATGTTTAATGAGCAATAAGCAGTTAAAAATATTGGTTCAATAATTTTTTTTTTATTACTACCAAAGTTAGAATATATTTATTATTAGATTATGTTATTTTTTCTACTATTCCTAATTAAATCAAAATAAATGTTCAACTATGGTATTTAATATTTTATATGGAGTAAACTGAGTTTTACTTTATATGAACTAACATTATATTTTTATACCAAAGGATAAGACCTAAGTTCCTACTAAAAATGTATAATGTATTTAATTTAAATTTGATTTCCCTTTTTTACTAATTGTATTTATTGTGTTCAGTAATTTATATTAAAATTGATAAATCACATTGTGTAATGAATTATATCAATTATCAATTTTTTTTATCATTACACTTAAGTTCTTGTCTACTATGTAGCTCTAATATTAATTATATTTATTGAAGATACAGATTAATTGGATTATAATAATTAAGTTATTATAGTTCTAAAATTTGTAAAACACTTATAATATTGATCTTGTTTAAATGTTATTAGTTTTTTTTTTAATTTTTAAATTTTTAATTTAAAACAAATATATAGAGCATATCTTTTTAGTTATTTGTTGAATTTCATTTCTTGTTTTATCATATAATGTCAAATAATAGAATTTATAATTCAAGTACTTCAAATATTTTTGTAATGATAAATTGACATCATAGTTTAAGTGACAAACAATGTGATAAATCATATAAGTAAGAAGAATATTGACGTAATATATATAATATGATATAACCTTTCATTGCTTTCAGCATTAGAAGTAACCTTACCTATATTTTATTTTATACAAATAAATTTACATTAATAATTTAGCTTGATATAATGAGTTCAATTTTTGCTGAGTGTAAATCCAATTACTAAAATCTTTGAAAAGTTTTGTCTATAAAAACTAAAAAAAACTTTAGGAATTGTTTTAACTAAGCTCCAGAAAAAATAATGGAATTTTTATTGTGCATTAAAACTTAAAAATCATTATTAAAAAGTGACGTCTTAATTTTTGTCAATGTTCAATTTAAAGTAATCTGTCGAAACCTGAGTGACATTTTCCGTTCGTATTGGACATGTTCCAAGGTTATGCATGTAAAAATTAAAATTACCTGCTTAAACTTATTTGTATTTTTAAAAAAACAATGGTTATTTTTAAAGTAAAATGTAACATCTATATTCACTTACACAAATATAAATATATATACTAAATTATTTAACTTGCTATTTTTTTTAATTCATGAAATAGTAAAAAATAATCTTTAAACATTTTAAACCATTTGCATCTCTTTTTCTTTAGTAATTCACAATTTTATTCCTTAGTTTTTTAATTTTAAATCAAATATAACTGGTATGCATCAATCATCTACATAAAACATTTTATCACATATAATCTAAGAATTTATGCAAAATTGATAAATGTTATTTTTGTTACACTTGAGTAGATAAACAGATATTAAATATTCCAAAATTGAAATGATTAATCTTAAATGCTTTTAAAATGTTAACTATTATTCAAGATATAGTTATTATGGTAATTAATAAGATTAACTTTTCATTGTAGGTCAAATAATTTATAATTCATAAAAAATATTTAAGAAACAATAAGAAGTTATTTTTCAACAAATAAATTTCTGGTTAAAGTGTCTTTTAGCTTTCTTCCTATTAACAAATATTATGAATAGAAATTGAATATATGTTTTTATTATTTTACTTTTCATAATATAGCCTTTGTTGATTTTATAATTTAAATTTAATTGATTATGTCAAATTTTATAAGTAATAAATACTTTGTGTTTTCAACTTAGAATTGATCATGCTAATAGTTGTTTTAATAACAATTCTTTTTTGTACTAAAAGATGTTTTCAATACAATTTTTTATTTGTTTTTATTTTTTTCATAATAAATATACTTTTCTTGTATCTGTATCTAAGATAAAAAAATGTGTCTCTTAAAAATATTATCTAAGTTTCACCACTTGTATTTTTTATATATTATTTATATAAATTGGGTTACTTGGCATCAAATATTGTTTACATATAGTATGATGTAGAATACTATATGAAGTCAATAATTTAAAAAATATATTGATCATTTGTGGAAATTCAGTTTTTATTGAACAAAAGTCTATTGACTTACACATTGTTAATATGACAGGTGGGTAGTTATTTTTTAGGTCATGGACTGTGTGCCAAAAAAAAAAAACCTAACTACAAGTCAAATAACCTGTGTAAACTTATATTACATTCAATAATTCAAATTTACTTCTACGTCTTGTACAATACTTGTTTGTTAATTATAAGTAGCTCAAGGTAAACTTAGGATATACTTTATCAAAATGTTCTGATGTGTGTACAAATACTTAATTTATGAATAATGATAATAGACTATTGTGCACATTATATAGGTATATGATACTTTTTGAAGGTGCTGTTGGTGACTTCATCTAGCAGACCTGAACAATGGATTGTACCGGGTGGTGGAATTGAACCAGAAGAAGAACCAAGTGCAACTGCCGTCAGGGAAGTAGTTGAAGAAGCCGGTGTTATGGGTAGATTGCATAGAATGCTTGGTACTTTTGAAGACAGGGTCAGTATAATTTATGTTGTTTTATAAGTGTTATTATAATTCATCACTTGTTTGTGTTTTATTAATTGTTATTTTCTGTCTTCAGACCCATATCAGACGACATAGAACAGATGTGTTTGTTATGATTGTAACCGAAGAACTACCAGAATGGGAAGATTCTTTGGGCATAGGTGAGGTTTCTTGTAACATTTAATCAAAAGTTAGAAATGTTCAGGTTTAACAATCAGATTGAGATGTATTATGTTATAATTGTAATAGTATGTACATTCATCAATTTCACTAACCTATTATTGTTATTAACTATAATTTATTTTGTGTTTCAATCCATTGTTTGTGATACAAATTTGATTGTGCAGCAGTATCTTTTTATTTCCTTTACTAATTATTAAATATTATTGGTCACTATTATCGATATATTTATTAATGCATATTAGTGTAATTTTTGAACCTATTTGATAAAGCAATTTTTTTATCAAGGCTTAAAATTAATCTAAAATTGTTTTTTGAAAGCTGTATCGAGTACAAAATGTAACAAATTATAAAAACATGAGTAAACATAGGTGTTATATACATAAATTAATACATAAATGACGAGCAAATTAATACAAAAAAAAAAAAAATTATCAATTGCAGCAAGTTGTTTGCTTAATTCTGATTAGTTTGATGAAAAAAAAAGCAGCCTAATTATTATGTAAAGTTGTTGTACATATTATATTTTATTTATAAAGCTATGTACAATGCACTTGTGTTGTGATTAAACTTTCACTAAAGAGATGTTCCTACGAATCGGTGTTGTAGTCTGTAGATAAGTTTTCTTATACTCCAATGTATTGTTTTCTGGTGTATGCCACGTGCTGATTGATAAATTCTCTAATAGTTTTATAATGTATGTTGTTATAACAAATATTTTAATCTTGTTATAATAGTTTTCTTCTTGATGTAGATTAGTTGTTTTTAACTGATATTTTCTTCTCTTTATAATTCGATGTTTTAGAATTTAACCACTTATGTGATAATTGTGTTATTAAATTATATTTTTTTTTATCAAACTGTACTCAGCAAACATACTGAAATATTTTTGAGCTAGATAAATAAAAATAATAACGCCTATACAGATTTTAATTATTAATGGAATCTGATGTGACATCTTATTTAAAGTTGCTATTTTATTACCTTTGACCATATAAATAAAATAAATAAAAAAATGTATTCCTAGTCAATAAGATAAGCATTGAACTATGTTCCTTTTGTTTACCCACCAATTAATTATTATTTATACTATATATTTTGATTTTATGAATACAAAAACAAGTGAAAAATGTGTGCATATTATGTACCACATTTATCTAAGATTAATCTTTATCACAGAAAATATATTAAATCTATTTAATGTTGTAATAATTTATAATCAACATTGTTAAAATTACTATTATACTATATACTATGAACATTTCATTTCATTTCAGTACGTATGTTTGCTCCAACAAAATGTATTATTCTATTGATAATTAACACTATAATATAATTATTATCATCTTGTTTTTCAGGTCGTAAACGCAAATGGTTCAAATTAGAAGATGCACTGAACATGTTGCGTCTACACAAGCCCACTCAACACACGTACCTGGAAAGTTTTGCTCTCAATCAACAAAAAGCTAGCATCTGAAAAAGCCATCCTTTTAAAATATTTTCCACATTTAATATACTTAGTATTTCATCTCTCTTAAACTTTTAGATTTTGCTAATAGTTGTCTAAGTCAACAGATTCATTTAATTTTTAAGAACAAATTAGTTCATTATTATTAGATGTAAGGGATAAAGATTTATGATTATTATTATTTAATTTTATATTGCAGGTTATAATAACGCTTAAAAAATAAAAATAAAATGTAAAAAAAGAAATGAATAGAAAATATAAAACATTTATCACTGAACTGAATAATAACTCGAGGAAAAAAATTATAATTAAATGTGTATTTATGTATAATAATTAATTATATGTATGCATGTCTGATTATATTATGTATGCACAGCTTCAGTGTTTTATCTTACTCTAATTGTATAAACAACATTTGACAGACTGCCAATAGCTTAGTGGATTAAACTACTGAGTTATATTAATTAAATTAGTTTATACATTTTGAATGTTCATTTTTTTTTTTTTTTTTTTTTTTAATTTTTAACCACTGTAACACCTACACCCTAAACACATTTTTGGTTCAAGGGGAAAAAATACATTTGAATAAAAAATCCTAATAACTCGTTTATTTTATTACTTTCACTTACATTATACCAAAATTTAATTCAAATACATTTATATAAAAAAAATTCTCTAAAATTTTGACAAACAATGGTATTGATTAAAAATCATCTTGCAACAAATTTCCTGCAAGTTGAACTTTTTCACCTGGTTTGAAGGCAGGCATGCCCAGGTACGGACAACTAGCACAACGGAAAGCATCACCAAGATAGCACTAAAACAAAATTATTGGTATCATTTATTATTTGTCATAAAATTCAAGTTAAAAACTGTGATTTGTTTATTTTTAAAATGATAATGAGAATAATATATTGCTTACGCTTCCACAAGATGATTTAGCAGTAGAAGTATCTGGTTCTGGTGCAGTTTTACGACTGTTGGCTTCAAGTTCTTCAGCTAAACCACAGCTACAGTTTTTGCAAGCCTTGGCTTTTTTAGTGGTAGCACACACTATAATCATAACAAATGTATATAATTATAATAAAATATTAATCATTATTATTGTATATTATTTAAACAATGATAGCTGTTTCAAGATAGAATCTTAATCAAATGAATGTTTTGTTGTAGACAAGTATTTGGCTTATCTGATACAGTATCTGAATTATGATTTGTGATTGGCCTGAATACTATTTTAAACTGCCTTGTTAATAATAAATATTGACATTCTCAATAGTTAATTGTGTATGTATTCAGGATTTCCATCTGGAGATGGGTTTTACTGTACATAATAATTTACACAACAGAATAATTCACCTTTAAGGGAGTTTGCAGAAGGTTTTTTTAAATCATCTGCTTCTAATAAGTCATCTTCGGATATAGTTTCTGAATTGTTATCATTCAAACTCCATGCAGAAATGACATTATCCTTTGTCTCGGAATTAAATGTGACTTTATCACTAGTGCCGACCTAAAAATAACAAAATGAATAATAGTTTTAATGTTGTAGAAAAAATAGTTTGTAATATTTACTTCATATAATGCAGTACAGCCAACAACTATGCCTGGTGTGGCAGTTGAAGCAATTACATTTAGAAAACCACATAATTTTAATTGTTTTACCAATTTGTCTTCGGTACCGGGTTCTGTCTGAACTATCAATAAACCTCCAGCAGTAAGTAGCTTAGTGTAGGTGGAAAATAGATCCAAGTCACAAGGTACACTATTTCCAATGACACCTGACAATATAGCACCATAGAATGAAGTTTCAGTTTCTAAAACACAAACATTTTGATTAACTAAAATCTGTTTCAAATCATAGAAAAACAAAGTTTGTCTTTGTAGACAGAATTCTTTTGGGATTATTATAAATTAAAATAATTTCAACATTGGTATTTAACAGATTTGAAATATTTTAAAACAGTAGTTTAAACATATTTTAATCAAATGCAGTTTTGTTTAAATCGTTTAAAACATTTGATTTAAACAAGATAAAAAAAAAAAATATATAATACTTAATGTTATGTATTTTATTAATATTTATTAGTAAATAAATGATTCTATTAATTTTTACAGTATTGAAATATACCTAATGAACAGGGAACGGACTTTAATGTCTTAAAAAATAAGAAAAATGTCCGTAAAAAATATGACCTTATGCCTTAAAAAAATGCTTTAATATCGAAAAAATGCACTAAAAACATTAAAAATGTTATTAAATTCGATAAAAACTAAATTTTGAACAGTTTTGTGTGTGTATAATATTATTAAAACTTAAAATTTATAAAAAATTCATCATTATAAAAAATTTATCTTATAAAAAAAATATTTAAATATATACAATAAAAAAAAAACTCTTTGTCTTTTCGCTTATCTTTTTTTTTAGCCTGAAAAATGTTTTATGTTAATTAATAATTATTAACTGTTTTCACCGAATTCTTGTACATACACACGCAAACGACAACGATCGGACAGCTTAATTTTCGGCATCTTTCACACTTATTCGAATTACGATAGCGAACACGACTAACGACTAACGACTCTATGAGTATCTACTAATAATCGGACACTAATTAGTTTTATATCGCGTATCGTAACGTTATCGAGATTATTTGATGGGAATTACGTATAACCGTATAGATAGATACAATCAGCCGATCTTCGTAAGAATAACTAAAATTGTATAATTTCAAGCAACAAATATATACGAAAAATGACCTAAAAATGGAAAAATGCTCTAAAAATGTCAAAAAATGCTTTAAAAACTGAAAAAGTTTAAAAAATGCAAAAAAATGCAAAATAAAAGTTTCATTATTAAATTCTCTGATGTATGAATCGAATTATACACTTAGAAAGCATTGCCCTATTCTACCCACTAAAAAATGTATTTTGCATCAAAGTCCGTTCCCTGCTAATGAATAATAACTAATAAGTCAAGATCAAGTCTACAGTAGTAACTACTATAAAAAAAACCCCAACATACACCTGCATTAGTTGTCAGAACTTATTTTTAAATTTAATTTACAACATACTTATTTTTATAATTTATTTATATTCAACATACTTCTGTTGTTACATTTTTAGTATTTGTATGTTACTACTTTTTAATTATTAGTGTTATTATTAATTAATTATTTGCTGTAGGCATGTAGCTAATTGCTACTAAATTTAATTATAGTCCTTGAAGTTCATTTATTATACTAAAAACCTATACAAATAATTTTATTTTGTTTAAAATTTGATCAATTTTTTTTTTTATAATCAAAACATGTTTTTTATCAACTCTGGTATGTAATATTATTTTAGTGCGATAAGGTTTTATTTAAACATAACTGGTGCCGAATTTTAGCCTATACCTTTCTGGGGCCTGAGTCCCTGGTTAAGTACCAACCTTTTTTTTTATATGTATATACACATATTTATTTTTTAATTATGATAATGATATATGTATAGTAATAAATTATTAAAGTGTGTTGAGTATATAAAAATTAAAACTAATTTTTATTAATATATTTTTAAAAGGCTTCCGAGACCCTTAAGTTAGGCACTGTATACAACTCTAAATTGCAAAAAATCTATTTTTATCTGACCATCCACATTTCAGGCTTAACAAACAAAATTGCTACAAAGCAACTGGATTTAAAAAATAAATAAAATGTTCTATAAAAACTTGCAGATTTATAAAGTGAGGATAAATAAATTATATTTGTTTAGGAACATGTTTTTATAAGTTTTAAAACATATTTTCAGTCAAGATAACAATTTCAAAGTTAATTATTACTGTAAGATATCTTAAAACAAGGTTATAAATTATGACTAATATTTCTTTATTGAAGTAAAACATGCATTGTTTTGATAAATCAAAACAAATAATTTCAGTTTTTTACTGCCACAGATATTATAATAACATAGGCATAGTATAACAAATTATTAACATTGGAGTTATCAAATCGGTAACTAAATTTAAATATTATATCTAAATTAAAACTGCATTATTATGCTGTATAATACTATAGTACTAGTTAAAAACGTACATGATTTATACAATATGGCTTTTTTTCTATATTGCTGTGTTATGACTCAGTCAACAAATGCAATCTTAAATAAGTTGCTTTGGGCAATTTTACTTTACCATTTTAGATCAAACTTACTACTAAAACCCACATTAGATGCATGACTGGAATGGGTTCTTTTTTTTAAACTTAAAACCATTTGATCTGCTTACCATAACCTGACCAAAGTCGTTTTGCTTAATCACAAATCCAGCATACAATGATGAGTGAAGAAGGAACCAAATACCAAGCTGTACATACCTTTTCCGATGTCCTGTGCGTAAATGCATTTCACAGTAGCTTTGTCGGCAAACAGCTGAGTAACGTTATCCAGATCTTCGGAGGCCAACGATTCGTCGACGACCACCAGCACGCGCTTCAGGTCGGCCGTCTCCGGTCCCAAGACCAGATGGTTTTCGGCAAGCAATCTCGACAGACGGATTTCGTGTGGGCTGCCCATGATTCGCGGAGAACGTGAAAACGTATAGAATGCTTCAAGTGATCGGTCTCTCATAGACCGTATTGCGCAATATCACGTAAGGTTGGTAGTGAGAATTTGAGCGCCGCGAACAGCAGCTATCAATTCTGGAGTATACGGACGCGTTATTACAAGAAAACGACAAAATATTCAGCGTACGCAAATTTTCGACACAACCTTGTCACAAGTGTTTTCCCGCATTGCGCTTATCAGCTTCAACCTATAGTGATTGCCGATAACCGCGAACCACTCGAAATGTTACTGCAGATACCGTTATCTGTACCACGGAATAGGTTACGTCCAACGAACATTACGTTGTCTGGATGTCGGTTTTTGAACTTCAATCCGAGTTTTAGTCATCTAGATTCTAGAACGACATTAATTTACATTAACATCACAAGTTAATCCGTCACATAAGATTATTCTTCTTAATAAACGAACTCTACATGAATCATTAGTATCTTCAAGTACAAATTAAAAGGGGGGAGGGCACATCCCCGGGGGCAACGTATGTAAAGGGCCCATAGTTTTGTTGAAGAAGTTAAAAATAATTAAGAATATTAATACAGCTGTTGGATTTGATAAAGTATCAGTAATACTAATGAAGTATATGGAAACAATTATTATAGAATCACTAACATATTTTTATTTATTTTTTACTAACGTTTATTGAATATTTACAATTTATACTATATGTACAATGAATAAATTTGAGGGAGGGATGACGGTGATGGGTCGTTGAGAAGGGAGGCTCACAGTTGAGCTACTTTTACATGAGTAATAAATTTATGAATAATTTTTGAGAAGGTCTCTGGACCAATTTCGATTTAGGCGCCGAGCAGGGTTACCAGGAAGAAATTTTGTTTGCAGTTGAGCTATGAGTTGGTTTGGGTGGTCTTGCATTTTAAAGTAGAGTCTTTGGTAGTAAGTGGCTGCTGCAGGCCCGTAGCCACGGGGGGGGACAAGGGGGGCGTTGCCCCCCCTATACCCAGTCATTGCCCCCCCTAAAAATATTAGAAAGATGTTTAGGTAGTTACGTATTTTATTGCTTATAACATTTTCATCAGTAATAGAATAGATCAAAAAAGTTTTTTTAGCCGTATAGCAGTATTTATTTCGGAAATTCCGGGCCATGACGACGATACTGACGTGTCACGACGACTGTTGGCAAATTGATTGCTAACATTATCGTAATCGTAGCTCAATACTTTCCTATCAATTGACATTTTAATATAGAACACCTAAATATTCTTTCATTTTATCGCCGACTGCAGCAGTACACGTGTGTAAAATATGTTTCATTGTTAATTTATTTTGTAATTCATTGTGTTAATTTAATTAGATGTCAATGTAAATAAATTAAAAATTGCATTAATATTTAATACATTTATATATAATGCCCCCCCAAAAATTTGCTTTGCCCCTCCTGAAAATTTGATCTGGCTACGGGCCTGGGCTGCTGTCTGGTTGATGGATGGGATTTTGAGGTCTTCATGTAGGGTGGCGTTTGTGACAAACCATGGGGCTTTGGTGACGATCCGGAGGCAAATGGATTGAAACGCTTGGATTATCCTGAGATTTGAGGATTTAGCAGTACCCCAGAAGGCGATTCCGTATGACCATATTGGTTGGAGAAGACTTTTGTATAGGAGTAAACGGTAGGATAAGTTCGTATTGGATTTGAGGAGAGGTCTGATAATGTGTAGACGATAGTTAAGTTGTTTTCTTTTAGTTTTAAGATGGAGACCCCAGGTGAGTTTCCTGTCGAGTTTGAGTTATTTAGCTTCCCTTGAGTGAGGGATTATAGAGTTGTTAAAGGAAACTTCGGGGCTGTCCTTTGGTCTGAGGGTGAAGGTGACATGAGTTGATTTATGTTTGTTTACTTTAATTTTCCATGTGTTGCACAATTTTGATAGCATGTTGAGGTGATTTTGGAGAAGGCGAGTGCAGATGAGTGGATCGGGGTCTGAGGCTAAAATGGCAGTGTCGTCGGCGTTTGTGCCCATCAGGGTGTTTTCGGTTGTAGGAATGTCCGCTGTAAATATTATGTACAAAAAGAGGGCAATGTCACTCCCTTGCGGGACGCCAGCAAGTATATTGTGGGAGCCGGAGAAAGTAGAATATATTTTGACACTGAAGGACCTGTTTTCGATATAGGACTTGAGTAGGAGATACTATGGCTCGGGAAAGATTTTTTTTTAATTTTAACAGTAGGCCAGTGTGCCAAACCGAGTCTAACATATTTATATAACTTAAGTCATGAAAAATGTACTTTTCCTGTTAATTTCAAAATTGCAATAGTCAATCCTTTATAAAATCCTTTATAAAAAAATGGTGATCACAAAGAATTTCAACAATTCTAGAAAAGATAATTAAAAGCCAATTTGGTTTTAGATCTGGTTAGGGAACAGAAAATGTACTTCATATAGCCACGAATCACATATTTAATGCCCTTGATAACAGTGGCGTAATTGAGAATGTTTTAAGGGGAGGGATCAAAATAAATTTGTATGGCAAACTTGTGGGGGGCAATGTCCCCCCATACCTCCTTTATCTAAAGTTATCGAAGGTAAATGTGGAAACAAAACACTAGTACTATACAACTTTTAATTTTTTATTGGATCAGTTAACAAATATCATCTAATTTTATATATAGTTACAATTTAAATAACTAAGGTATCGTATACCATAATATATAATTTTGTTCACATTTTTATATCTGACATCGCCTAATTTAACATAGGTACCTTTTAACATTTCAGAATGGATTGAAAATCTTTCTTTTAGTTGTTGTATAAAAAAGTCCAAATAAAGTATAAATACTGACACTTTGTAGTACTAAACACTTAAATTGGGATCTGGGTTTGCTCGATTTACTTGTCGTTTAGATATTCTTTTAGTGCCTACTCAAGTCTATATTTATAGTTACTGACATCTCATATTACAAATGCCAAATATAAACATAATTATTTTCATATAATTCATATAATAATATACCTACTTTATTTTAGTATACTTACTTTTGCAAGCAAGAACAATTTATGAAATTCAGTATCACAATTTAATCTGATATTTTTTAATACAAAGATAATATCTTCAGCAAGGCTTACTGCTTCTCTTAAATCGATTTTTTCTTTTTGTAGCAACTTACACATTGGTAATCCAAAAGAAAAAACCAACTAAATAAATATTTTATTATAAAATAAAATAAATTATATTTATTAATTACTATTTACTTGTATACCTTGTAAGGATATAAGGAATTCTGAATCAATAGCTTTTAATAGTATATTAGTTTCCGTTGCAGTGGAATCATTCTAATTAGAAATATTTTCTAATGATTCAACTACGAATGCAAATACTTCTATGAAATCTGTTACCGCATCATTACGTTGCACCAATCGTATAGCACATAATCATTTTAAAGTTTTAACCTTAGGGTCCTTATTACTATTTTTTCAATGTTGGTTAAAAGAACATTTTGACATTTTGGTGTAGGTATTAAAAAAAAACAGTTCTTTACGGATAAATATTTATTATCTGGTTTTTTTTTTTAGTTTCGTAATAATTTATAAGTTTGTATTTTAGCTATTTGTAGGTTTAAGATCTATCCATATCCCCCCCCCCGCCCCGTAACTACGCCCCTGCTTGATAACGGTAAAGAAACAGTAATTTTCCTGGATCTAATAAAGGTATTTGACACAATTAACCACAAAGAGTTGATTAAAACTTTACCTAGTGTTGGAATGAAAGCAAGTAATTTGAAATGGTTTAAAATGGAAAACCTGTATAACTATAACCAAATAAAATAATAAGTATTTGTCTCGATAAGAAAAGTTTGGAAGGTTCTACGAACTAAAACTATAAAGTCGTTAAGTATTGCCAATAAGATCGGTTTACAAAAAATTTGTAATAAATTGGACAGAGAAAAATAAATATACTTTAGGGTTACCAGATTATATTTTTCCGAACCCGGGACTTTTTGAATGAATAAATATTATACATATATAATATTATAAATATATATATATATATATATATTTTTTTTTAATGAATTATGTATAGAATCAATAATAATAATTCATATTTTTAGTTTTCGGATCTTTTGAGGTCCAAAGTTTCTTCTGTTGATTTTACTACATATTTGATTGATCCATAAACTTGTTTTAATAAAGACTTGTTTCCCAAACTTTGGTCGTAGAATTCTTCGTAAGATGTATTATTGAAGAACGTTTCTATAATTTACCGTTTTTATAACTAGTTATTATCTTGAATTTGTCCATGTGCTGTTCATCAGTGCATTTGAACCCGACAAAAAAATTAATTCAACAACTTTTATTAGTTTAGAAAATGCATGATTGTTGTCAGTGAATATTTTGAAAATATATATCCATTTATTTTCTATTTTTTGACAATGTCATTCGTCATTTTGTTGATTAATTTTTTTCAAAAATTTTGAATTGTTCGAAAAACATTTATTCATCAAAATAAAGATTGTTTGACATTATAGCGTTTATAAAGATTACTGATTTTTTGACATTTACACAATTTATTATTGTCTTCGGGGCTAATGTTATCCATAACATTGATTTTAAATTAGTTACATGTTGATATGAATCGTTCCATCTTTTTAAATAGTTGTAACAAAGTACATAAAATTCATCACATTAACTTTCAAAATTAGTTCTATTGATAATTCCTCGTCCTCAAGTTTTGTTATACATATATAATACAATTTCTACCGTGAGAAACCGATTCTTTTTTTTGTTTTCAATTTTCTTGATATTTTATCGAGTAAAATTTTGAAACCGGGACAAATGCTGCCTCGAAACACTTGGAACACTGGGACACTTGGTTAAAACCAGTAGTGTCCTAGTAAAACCGGAATGTGTGGCTACCTTAAAATACATGGTACAATATAGAAACATATAAAATTAAAGACAAGACATGGTTTTATATTCTGAAGTTAAGTACGCAAAAACAACTTATGGTAAAAATTCATGGATTATCTAGTCTTTTATATTTAATGAATTGGATTTTGATGTAAAGCAGAAATTATTATACTATAAAAACAAAAATCAAAAAAATAAGTAATACATGAATGGTTATTACACTATTTACCATAAAACTAATTTTAATAGTTTGCAATATGTTAATAATATTATTTTCTAATTTTTTTTTTCTCATAATTTAATTAAATAAATAATTCCTAATATGGCCAATGGGTATCACCATCGCCTACATGGAAATATAACAAGGTGCTACTGATACAACAAATATGTTGAATTCACAGTTTACTATTTATCAAACTTTAAATATTTTTTTAAATTATGAGTAACATGGTCAAATATTATAAGATAATTTAGAACTCTTTAGTGATTGATTCATATCAAATATATAAATATTGTATTGTTAAACTCAATAATTAGGAAAGTTCACTTAATAGACTGTTTAATGTATGATTGTAATTTTGTAATTTATTTAAACTTAAAATGATTTCAAATATTTGATGCTCAGATGCTAGTACCACACCCTATAACAATTTTAGAGTTTAGTCACATACATTAGATCACTGGATAGCTAACATGTTTTCCAGACAAGGATTTTGATTTTAAGAATCACAGATGTTATGTTATCCATAGTTAACAATTAAATCTAAACAGTATAAAATATATTTATAACCGAGTTATTGACAGTAAAATATTATAAAAATCAGTAAGTGTACAACTACATCGATTGCAGTAAAAAATTATAAATATAAAAAATAGTTCAACAAAAAAAAAAAAAAAACATTTATGCTGCAAAGTACGCAGTAGAACTAAGTGGTCCATACATAACACGGCGGATTGGAGCACTTCTTTTTGAGTTATTTGTCGTTGTTTTACTAAAAATCAATAAAATTACATAAATTATTTAAAATACATGAATAAATATGTAGTCAGGAACATTACCTAATGTTGGAACTTAAAGTTTTTGAATTCAATTTTTGACTATTAGTTTTAGTATTTTGATTGTCCTAAAACAGAAAAATAATAATTTTTCAATATAATATATGGGGAGTTAAAATTCATACAGTTTCAGCAGTAGCAGGAGTCGACGTGGAAAATTTGGCAACACTTTTGTTGATATTCACATTTTTTGTTACATCAGTTGTTTCTGACAACACACCACAGTTACTAGAAGACTTTGCTGCAATTTCACAGTTGTTCAACTTACTGTTCAACCAATGAATCACTTATGAAGAATTAAAAAAAAAATAAATAGATTTATACATTTTTTTCTATTCAATAGTTATTGCTTTCTAAAATATAATTACCTTTGTCATTACTAGTTAAACGTTCTTCTTTTTCTTTTAAACTTTGTTCAACTGTTGTAAGTCGATTTTTGGTTTCTAGCAATTGAATATTTTGACTTTCAATATAAGTTGTTTTTTCTTCAAGTAATTTAGACAGTCCTGCGTTTTCACTTTGAAGTTTATGAATCTCTTCTTTTTGTTTCAGTGCAATATCTTTACTCAGTATAAGCTTAATACAATATATAATTCTTTGTACAACAGTGAAAATTTAATTTAGATACAATAATGAAAAATTAAATTACCTTTTGTGTTTGTTCTTGATTTGAATCGTGTAATTTTTTTATAATTTTATTTGCTTGTTTCAATTCATCACAAATTGATCGTAAGTTTTCTTCACTTCGTTTTTTTAGTTCTTCATTTTCTTTTTGAGAGATTGCTAGTTGTTCCTAAAACAAATTGTATACAATAGTAATAAAAATTAATTTTTTGTAACATCAAACTACAAGTATAGAAATCAGTTCTTTTTTTGTTAAGAGTTTAAAATGTATACACACAAACAATTGCTTTTCTTATGACTTCATAATGATACACAACTATAAATCAACTCTGATACATGTATACTAATAAATATATAATATTGAACAATTCCTATCAATTTAAAACATTCAAGCAATACAAAACTAATTATAATACTATTGTTGCTAAATCAGAAACTACAGATTGAAAACAATTAAATTAAATTGAAAATATCATAAAATGCATTAATGTTAATAAATATTGTTTAAAATAAATATTAAATTATTTTCAGGTGCTAAACCATTGTTGATTATGTAAAAAGGTTATGGTGAAAAGAAGATGAGCCAAAAAATTTAAAACTGTTATTAACATACACCATTGAGAGTAAACATATGGTATAGTTTTGAAATCATCATAGTACATATTGTTTGAAATAATTGCTAGGTCTATATAAAATCAAATTACAGAAATTACACAAATTTAGGGACATAAAATATATAAGCAATAACATTAAGTAAGTTAATAAAATCTAAACATTAAAAAAACTATAGGAAATACAAGATTAATTTTCATCATTGCTAAATAAATTTTAATATTAACAAAATCACAAATATAATAAATATAAATTAAAAATAGATGTAAAATATAAATATGTGTAATAAATTAAGATCAAAGATATACTTAAAAGTACATTTTTATCTCAAAGTTAAAATGTGTTTAAGTACTCTTAGATAGAAAATCATAAAAAATCAAAACCCTTTACCATGGAATTGGAGATAAACTTCTTAATAAATTAAAAATTAAAAATATAAATACTTTTTTTAATGTTATAACTGAACTTAAGACTTGTTATAAATTATATATAAAAAATTAAATATTTAATTAATATAATTGTTTACGATTAATTGAATACAAATTTATGATTAAAGCATATAATAGTAGTACAGTCAAGTTGCAAATTTTATTCATTAAATTTAATAAGTAGTCTACTACTAAAATAAATATTATTTAAGAATAGTTAATTGCACTTTAATTTTATTGATTGACAAAAGTTATCTTATGTAATTTCATTAATATTCATTAAATAAAATATGACTATTTAGTGTTTAGTATTAAGTATTAAAATATCAATGTTGAAGTACCTCCAATGGAAGATTTTTCCAAACATCATAAATAACCTATCTATACAATCTTACATATGTTTATTGTAAACATTTTTTTCTTTTTTGTAGATTGTGTATTTAAAATTAAATGTTAAAATAAAATAACTTAAATAACATACTTGGAATCTATTAGATGTTTCATAATAATTATTTTGTTTCTGAAGTAATTGTGTGTTTTGTTTAATTTCCTATGAAATTATTTAAAAATTAATTAAAACTATCAACATTATAATAATTATTAATTAATAATTATTTACATTTTCTAAGGACAAAATATGATTTTGCATTCTTTCAATAATTTTCTTTTTAATATCTTTGTCTGATATTAAGTTTTCATTAGTATTAATTATTGAGGCAATTTCTTCAGTCAACTTCTTGTTTTTGGATTCCATTGTTTTTAAACGAACTGACATTTCACTAAAATATACATATGCTTAGATAAATTGATATGAATTATTATTAATTTCACTTAAACATTTTAATATATAAATTAATTAAATAATAAATGCTTAACCTGGAATATTATTGTATTTGGAATGTACTATTGGTTTTGAATCAAAAATTGATCATGAGGTATAGTAGATTATTAGAATATTACAAATATAATGATACTCCGTCATAAGCATTTATTTACTTATTTTTATTTATAAATTATTTATTTATACATAAATTTACGAGTATTAACCAATTACTAATTTTTTTTTATATACCTTATTTGTTCAGATTTATTTTCTGATTGAGTTAATAGACTTTGTATTTCTTTGTTTTGGGATTTTATTGTTGTTTGTAAAGATGAACTTAGTCTTTCCTGCTGCGCAATCATTTCTTCATGCATTTCACGCAATTGTTTCATTCTTTCAGCATCTAACTGTAATAAATAAATAAATAAATATCAATTCAACTAAATCATAAACAAAATAATGACAAATCAAAAAATATAATTTTATACAATTACTTTTTCATATTTTTCCTTCCATTCATTAATTATCTTTTCTTGTTTAGCAGTTAAGCTATTTTTTTCATGGTTCATTGATGTTAAAAATTTTTCTAACTGATTACTTTTATTAACCACTTCATTTTGTAATTTTAAAAGTTCTCGTTTTAAGTTCTCAGTCTCTTTATCTTTCAACTCTATTAGATTCTGAAATAATATTATATTACTTGATTACTCTAAATATTTAGATAATTTGGTTTACTTTAATTGATGTCATTTTTTTGCATATGTTTTTTGCTACATCAGCATCAGATGCTTTAGACATTTCAATGGCTAAATGACAGAGATTCTTAAATTCATTCAGTTCAATTATTTTTAAAACATACTTGGGACCTTTGTACATTTTGTTGTTCATGTTTACATCTTGAATTAATAGTTTAAATCTATAGCAAAAAAGTTCCAAGTTATACAGTTGAACTAAAAATTATCTTTGTAATGGAATGGTCAGGTATGGAATAAAATATGTAAAATTGAAAAATAATATTTCATACTTAGGACCATCATCACTGGTTGAATCTGAATTATTTAAGAGTTGTATTATTTGATTTGGAAAATTATCAAAGTTGACCACCAAATCTTGAGATTCTTTGATATATCTAAAACTCTCTTCTGTAACATAGGTTGTGATGTAGAATAGTGGGTCATTTTCATCAGATGCAGATATGAATACAGCCTGAAATTGTTTAATTATATTTTAATACTAATTTGCTATATAAATTGGTATATTTTCAATAAAGTATGTCACAAGTAGAAACAAATTATATAAAATTTTAATATTAACTAAACATAGGATTAATAAAATATGAATTTTAATATATACTCTTTATTTATTATTTAAAATTTTGATGTATTGAAGACTGAAACACTTAGTTCAAATTATTTATGACAAGTTGCCATTAACTATTATCAATTACTGCAGAAAATATTTTATTGGTTAAATAATAAGTTACACTTCCATTAATACAATTGAGTGTTAGATTAATTGACACAAATGTAAACCAAGTGTTTATTATTATTTTGATGTTGCCACTGCTAAAAGAGGATATGTTTTCAAAACCGATATTGGTAAATACATTATGCGTCTCATTGAAATATGTCTTGAATTATTTCCATAAAATTATCTTACTTTTTTCATTATCTTGATAGGTTTGTTCCACCGTAATAATGATATCCAGAGAAACCTTTTCGTTGTGATATGAGTCTTTTACGTAAACGTTTTTAATTTTTGAATATATCAAGTCTTTCATCTCAACTCGATGTTTACATTTCTAATCATAAATAATTAAGAAAAATACATATAATAACAATAATACATGAGTCATAATAGTATAATTCATAAACGTAGTTTCCATCACCGTCCGTTGAACTTTATTATTGTTTTTGTTTAATATTTAAAAAGTATTATCAACTTGATATTGTATTTCCTGCTCGTTATCAGTTAACAGTGTAACAAAGAGTTTTGTCTCTTTGTACGGACAATAGTATTAGAGCGGGAGTGCATATTTCCGAAAAATATTGAAATTTACGAAAAATACCTATCAACACGAAAAATTATTTTTTTCCCAAACACTGCCATATTATTTCACAATCGATGATTGAATTTTAACGATGAAACTAAAAGTTTTTTTCGCGTAAAAACGTTTCTCGTAGTCGTCTATGGTTCCTGCATCTAAGAGCTCCTTGGTAATGATTTCGTTTTATACGATTTCCTTGTAAATGACTACATCAGTTTCTCGAAAAGAAAAAATACCTTTTCCTATCATATTATCCGAACCCATTGTTCGGGAAGTAACTAGTAATTACCAATTTGTTATTTTTTGTAAAAATATTATTTTGTTGTTTTTATAAATTTAAATACTTCTAGACGTTGTGATTGTTAGTAGTTTAACTTCGAAAAATTTATTAGTTAACGTAACGTAGTGATAAAATACAAAAATCTGTGGTAAGGATAATGTCCAACCGACGCGACGGTATGTCGTCCAAACAAATCTATGATCTCGACACCATATGGGGAGATTTAAAGAACGGTATTGAACATGTATACAATCGTCAGTCAATGCCTAAGCCTCGTTATATGGAACTCTACACACACGTTTATAATTACTGTACTAGTGTGCATTTAAATCCAAATAAAAGCACAACAGTGGCAGGTACCCGTTCCAAAAAAGCTTCATCAACCTCAACAGCACAAGTTGGTGGTGCCCAATTAGTAGGGCTTGAGCTGTATCGGAGAATCAAAGATTTTTTACGGCACTATCTACTGGACCTAATCAGCCGTGGTGCTAATTTTATGGATGAAGATGTACTTTCTTTCTATACCCGCGAATGGGAAGACTATCGTTTCAGTTCAAAAGTATTGAATGGTGTTTGTTCTTATTTAAATCGTCATTGGGTCCGTAGGGAATGTGAAGAAGGCCGAAAAGGTATCTATGAAATATATCAACTAGCATTGGTAGCATGGCGAGACTGTTTATTCCAGCAACTACATAAACGTGTTACTAATGCTGTATTAAAATTAATCGAACGTGAACGTAATGGTGAATCAATTAATACTCGATTAGTTAGTGGCGTGATTAACTGTTATGTTGAACTTGGCTTAAATGAAGAAGAGCCAACTATAAAAGGCCAAAGTTTGACCATTTACAAAGAATCTTTTGAAAAAACATTTTTAGAAGAAACCAAATGTTTTTATATCAAAGAAAGTGATCAATTTTTGGCGAATAATACGGTAACAGAGTACATGAAAAAAGCCGAACAACGTTTACAAGAAGAACAAAAACGAGTGCGAGATTACCTTCATGAAACCACATTGTTTGGCCTTGCAGATACTTGTGAAAAAGTGCTTATTCGAAAACATATGGAAATCTTTCATGCAGAATTCCAAAATTTATTAAATTTTGAAAAGAATGATGATCTTGGGCGAATGTACCATTTAGTTTCGCGCATTCAAGATGGTCTTGGAGAATTAAAAATTATACTTGAATGTCATATATTGGCTCAGGGTCAAACTGCAATTGAAAAATGTGGTGAAGCTGCTTTCAATGATCCCAAAACCTATGTAAGCGTTATCCTAGATGTACATAAAAAATATAATGCTTTGGTTGCTTTATCATTCAACAACGACTCGGGATTTGTAGCTGCTCTCGATAAAGCTTGTGGAGGATTCATTAATAATAATCTAGTTACAAGACAGTACAATTCAAGTTCTAAAAGTCCAGAGATGTTAGCCAAATTTTGTGACTTGCTATTGAAAAAATCTAGCAAAAACCCAGAAGAAGCTGAACTTGAAGATACTTTGAATCAAGTGAGTAGTTTTATAATATAACAATTTAAATTATAAAAATGTTATTATTTTAAAATATATTAATTTATTTGTTTATTTTGTTAAAATAGGTTATGATAATGTTCAAGTATATCGAAGATAAGGATGTGTTTCAGAAGTTCTATAGCAAAATGCTTGCCAAAAGACTTGTTCAACATATGTCTGCCAGCGATGATGCTGAAGCATCAATGATATCAAAGTTGAAACAAGCTTGTGGGTTTGAATATACTTCAAAACTTCAACGTATGTTCCAGGATATTGGTGTGTCTAAAGATCTAAATGAGGCATTTAGAAAGCATGTATCCAACTCAAACATGCCTCATGATATTGACTTTAGTATACAAGTTTTATCATCTGGTTCTTGGCCGTTCCAATACCTCCTAACATTTTCTTTGCCGTCCGAATTGGAACGTTCAGTTCAGAGGTTTACCCAGTTCTATAGTGCTCAGCATTCAGGTCGTAAACTTAATTGGCTGTATAACATGTCTAAAGGTGAATTGGTTACTAACTGTTTTAAAAATCGATATACTTTACAAGCTTCAACATTTCAAATGGCTGTTCTACTGCAATTTAATGTCCAGGAACAGTGGACTGTTAATCAACTATCTGAATCAACACAGTTAAAGACTGACTATTTAATACAGGTCTTGCAAATACTGTTGAAAGCTAAACTTCTGATGTGTACTGAGGATGAGTCATCAGTGCATGGTAGCTCTATTGTATACCTTTATAGTGGTTACAAGAACAAAAAATTACGTGTTAACATAAATGTCCCTATGAAACAAGAAATAAAGTTAGAACAAGAGAGTACACACAAGCATATTGAGGAAGACAGAAAAATGTTGATTCAAGCAGCTATAGTGAGAATAATGAAAATGCGCAAAGTGATGAAGCACCAACAGCTAACAGCCGAGGTATTAACACAATTGTCATCCAGATTCAAGCCTAGGGTTAACGTGATCAAAAAGTGTATTGATATTCTGATCGAAAAAGAGTACCTAGAGAGAACCGAAGGACAAAAAGATTCATACAGTTATTTGGCTTAAGTAACAACTCTTTTGAAATTACTATTTACAAATATTTTGTATTATGTTGCATATTTTACTAATATTTTTTATTCTTAAGTGTAAAATAAAACCTTCTTTAAAAATGAATTTGACCTAATTGATGAATAACTATCCCAATCGTTATGTGATACCAATTATTATAGTTGCACTATGCCACTATATAGTGTTGACTATGTTAATATGTTGTATAAATAAATAGTGTATATGCAGTATGAACTTTTATGTATATATAAGCGTTTCCATGGATACTATGGTTTTTATATTTTCCTAAAAAAAATTCTTAAAATTCTTAATTTTAAATGGTGTTTTTATTTTTCGATTTAAATGATTTAATTATTAAGCTAATTTAGAGTGATTACACGATCGTCGTTTTCCTAGACTGAAAAAAGTGAAAGTATTCTACCTACGCTATTTTACGTTCAGATCTTGAAAATCTTCAGTGGCTTTCGAATTCAACATCACTGATCAGTTGGCACTGTTGTGCCGTGTCCTCTTTTATTTCTGAATCCAACTGCGTCTTAATGTTTCTTAGGTTCTCAGATAATCCTCGCGCTTTCCGCTGTAGGTAGTGATAGGTTTTTTATGACATTTTATTTATTTCCATCTAGAAATCCATTGAAAAAAATAAAACTTTGGTTTTATTTTAAACATAAATATAATTGATAACATAATGAGTTTTTATACGACCCGGAAATTAATTCGTCTGGCTAAATAAATAAGTACTTAGTAAACATATTTTTCATGATAAACCATGTTGTGTAATTGACCTGACCGTTATCTGTTCGGCTATGTTAACATTTTACTTAACAGACATTAGTCATTAAATGTATTTTGTTTACTGCCATAATAATAATTTTTTATTGTACAAATTACAAAATTAGTGTATACCGTACATGAGTGATGGCCGACGGGTAGATAAATGTGTATACGAGTTACCTAAACCTGTGTGTACTTTTACGAACTTAACATTTGCAGCTGTTGTTTAATCTGAAATATCGAATCGTATTAAATCGCTTTAATTATTAGAAAAATAATGTTTTTGCGAACTTTAATCGATACTTCGTCGAAACGAGTGGGAGGTATTCACTGTGACGTGGATTGGGAGGGGAGCGTTGGTTATAATTTTTGTTGGGATTCCGTTGAATTTTTATTTTTTGCTCTTAAGTTATTTAAAAAATGAAACCTTTTTTTTTATTTTTTGTCGAAATCGATATCTGGCCCACGAACGTCTCTGCAATAAACATTTAACATTTTGCATGACACTAAATGTCACTGTTGGAAATGACGTATATTTGTTTTATCCAGTCCACCCGCCACTATTCTTGTTTGTAAATACATTTAAATGTATATCAATTATTATTATGCTATTATATAATATGTAAGTGTATCTACCCACCCTATATGTATCATTTACGATTATTATAATTTAATCAATTAAGTACCTATAAAATATAATATTACAATAATAAATAATTTTTTGTATGTACAAATATATTATATGTATATATTTTTTTTTAGTGCCGTATTATTTTAAATAACTTTTTCCGTATCACATGCGTATTATTTCCACTTATTATGTAAATAACAGGCCGCAAAGATAATCAGATCAAACGAATAAATTATGGTCGTGATCGAAAATTATTAGGAAATAAACGATTCATAACGATTTATATTGAATATAAAATTATATTTATCTATAGGGGTTTTAAGGATTCTAGCCTCCCCTAAAATATCAGAAAAAAATGACCTGACTTACAAATTTAATACGAGTAGTTTTTTCAAAGTTTCTTATGAGACTTATAGATAAAATATTCAATTATAATATATAATGAGCAATGAGCAACATTTTACATTTTATCAATTCCCCTCCAAAAAAAAAAAAAAAAATAAATATCCTGCGTTCGTCCCTGATTTATTTATACACTCGTATCATGTCAAATTCAACTACCACTAACCGATTGATTGTTACACATAAAAAAACGACTCTACGTATGAACTTGAAATTAGAAATAGTTGTTCTTTTAAATTTTAATACTACATCTAGATGAGCAACAAGAAGAGATTTTTAAACATTTTTATGTGTTAAAACCGTTAAGCTTTGCCAATAGTTTAAGCGAATTTCACCGCCGGATTGTATTTATAACCGAATTTATATTCGTTAAAAACTATACGCCGACCATGACTATAACTTCGCGTACGAAGCTGGGTAAGTTACTAAGATACCTAGTTATTATGGCGTTAAATTAATATTCGACTTCTATTACTTGTACACGGATATTGGTTTATAGTTGATGTGATGTTGTTATTGTTGCATCGGTGTGGACGGTGTAATATTATAGATAATTATGGGTTCCTTCTCGACACTATTTTTACTCCATTTTTTCACACCTCAAATCCGTTAAACTTTTGCACAATTTATTTTTATTCTTATTTAGTATTTATCTTCACTCTGCTGCTTCGCTTGTTCGGACGAATTTTCCTTGGCCCATTTTTCGCTGGCCATTTTCCCATGGTTGGTTCACGTTCACTCGACGGATACTCGCCTACTAGCAGCTGGTTTATCCGTATTTCGCGCGCCCACCACGGAAATCCAACGAATTCTTGTCTATGTTGTGCACGTTAAATATTTTTTCAACTGCACTAGCTTAACGTTTATATTTATCGACCGAAATGTACACGTTTACGGATAGGATGGACGGGTTCAAGTTCCACGCACCAACGATATTAACTACACGAATTTCGGAAACCTGATGCAGGCCCTGGACGAGCGATCGGCAGTGCTATCGTTTCGGTAGAAAATTTGGATGCAGGTATTTCCATAGGAGTATAGTAAGTTTCCACACGAAACATAGCATTTTGTAAGCTGTTGCATACGCAAATTCCGACAAGAGCAAAAACATACCGACATGTAAGTTCTCATACGATTAAAAATACAAATACTTACATTTCCAACGCGGAGAAAAAATTAAATGCTTTTAAACTGCACCAACAGATAATGTGTTATTATTATTTTTGGTACATATTGTATTCAAATTAAAAGTTATCAATATTCAACTAAAAAATTCCATCGGACATTATACACGAGAATAAATAAATTTTATTCGTACCAAGTCGTCAATTACATTTTACTTGTTAGTCTTAAGCAGTAATAAAGAAAAAAAAGAAATTTATATTCGTTATAATTTTTATTCGTGGTATAAGAATTTACATGAATCAGATAAATTGTTTTCGTACCGGAACTTCTGAACCAGTATATTTTTCGTGTCGAAACTTACCCATGGGTGATTTTTACCTTCTGTATCTGGTGTAGGAATTTACATTCGCTCTCTCCATACGGTTCATGTTTGGCGCGAAGATGGAAATTATTTACCATATTATTCATATGCATCATGGATACCATATTTTAAGTGTATGATGTATGATGTATGATTTAAATTGTATGATGTATCCATGTATATTTTACATTTACGAACATGTTATCGAATAAATAATGTGTAATAAGACCTCCTGGAGCTGATTGCCATAGCGCATCACAATAGGTATATTGTATTATTTTGATTTATCTTATTAGTTACAAACATTCATAGTCATAACATTTATAACTCATAACTATAATAATACCAATTACGTCTTACCAAGTATATTATATAAATTTAAATTTAAATACAACTGGTAAAATTTCAACGGAATTCCTTATTAGAAATAAAAATGCATTTTACACTACTTTTACCGGCGGTAGTGATATTTATTGAATAATAAAATCTAAATTTAACAAGTGCAGATTAACTTAAAATATTTGTCACGGTGCTTAAAGGATGAGCGAATATTACGAAGAGTACGTCAGTACATTATCACGAACCTTATAGTTAAAAATATAATTTATAATTATTATAAAAATATATTTGTTTCTTCAACGGAAAACAATTGTAAAAGCCAAAAAAATATTAAATTTGTTCGTACAAATTTTTGTTAGATGTTACGTAGATCGCATTTCGATAATAAAGCTCATCGATTCAGTTGTTTTTTTTATGGATACAAGGAGAACGAGAAGAATTAGTTGAAGCGATTAAAATATATACTGAACGATTTTTGTCAGTGCTTGAAATTTAAATGATATTTTTCGATTTAAATTTAAATTCCGCTTATTTTTAATAATAATACATTGATTATTTTATATAAAATATTATTATGAACCATTATCATAGTTAGTACACTTTACACCGGTATTTAAAAATTTACGTTTTTTAATATCATCCTTAGTTTTTTATAATATGGTTGCCTCATTGGTATGAGTAGTTTAGTTCGTATATGCGTCTCCAAATTGTGTCTAATACTGCCTTTAAGTTTGGGTTTGTTGCACCCTTCTACATTACCAGTTGACTTATATTTATTAATATTATATGAAAAATATTAATTTTACAAGATTACTCTGTTATCGACCCATATTAATGGTTCAAATACTATAATGAAAAAGGATAGATAGTTCATTTAAAAATATAAAAACACTAAGAACGTAGTAAATAATTAGAGTAAAAAAAACGGAGAAAAATGCGATTCCTTTACACCGAAGAATTTGGAAGTTTGGTACGTTACGCCAGTTAAGTATCGAAACGTCAAGTCGAAATCACCCTCTCACAAACATTTTTCCAAGCTTTATACTTGCTCAATAATTCAACAGCGTATGTAAAAATAAAAGTAATCACAGAAAAACTACGATTGCCCATGAAATGCACCACGTGCAGATAGTTAATTGTATTAGTATTGTTATTATAAGAAAACAAAATAAGTACAAGAAGAGCGGTAGGTGAGAATAACGCTGCCAACGGATATTGAACTTACTTGTAGATTAGATATTGTATTTGGATAGTTATTGATTTAATTTTATTATTATAAATAAACTGTATGTTTTGCAGAGTGTGCGCAGAACATTGTGATAAATAGATCTCGCTCTGCTCTCGGTTTAAACTAGAAAAAATAAACCTTATATAATTTGATTTTTATTATATTGTATTAAATTCATTATCGTACAATAAGTTATTTCAATTTTGTCTCTATATTAAACATTTATAATGTTATATATAATACATTTAAAACCATAAAGTTTTTTTTTTTTTTTTTGATTTTGGGAGTGGCACTTGCACCCAGTGCTCCCTCCCCTAAATCCATCTTTTCATTCAATTACTTCATTCAAACTAGGTACCTACCTATAAAATAATTGTAAATAATCAATAAAAATTATAATTGGCCTGATATTGTTAAATTTAAAATTTTTTCAAACTAAAAATTGATTTTTCTTTAAAACCAATTACAATTTTAATACATAATATCGATTTCCATTTATTTAAATATATACATATACAGGTACATATAAATATTATTATGTATGCATTTTTCTTCATTATCCAGTACTGATTCTGACTCCGTAAATAACTGAAAGAATAATTTTATTAGTTCTTTTATTAAAGAAACAAGATACTCAATTTGATGACAAACATTTGTCAATAGTCCACAACATCCGTATAATAAGGCTTCATATGATATATATGCCTCACTCGATATCGAGTTAAAAAGTTCTAGCGCCACCACTGAGCACTGCTTGTCTTGACTTTAAACTCAGTATTCCAGCTCGAGCAACAGTTACAGTGGGAAAATATACTATATAGGTAATACGTGTAGGACGTAAACAAATGGCAATCCTCCAAGATATTCGTAAAGTATTCACGTCCGTTCGTGGCCTCTAAAATACCTACAATAAGATAAAAAAAGAAAAGTAAAAACCTTAAGTGCTGCTATGCCATTTACCGGTCCTCTTACTCCTGTGATTCGAAATAAATTTCACCTCATCAAAATATGACAATATTAAATTATTAGAAATTGTGCGAGTTATTAAATTGAAAAAATAGAAACATATAAAATTGCCTATATTTTTCCTGAAAGGATGGGATGGCTATGAGCCAGTACTATTACCTATATATTATTACTAAAAAATAAGTGCGTGCAATTTTCTATATTTAAAAATAGTTTAGGATTTTTTTTGTTTTTTTTTCTTAGTTTAGAGATTTTTTGGGAAGAACTAAACACTTCCCAAAAAATCCCCCTTCTTTTCAAAATGCTGGTGTGTATAAACTTAAATGTTATTGTAATACATTTTATGTAGGTAAGATAAATATTAATTTTAAAATAAGATAGAAAAAACACATTTCTGAAATAATATTAATAAAGACTACTCCTAATTCAAACTTAACTAATACTTTTTAAAAAATTATTATAATATACATTTTGATATCAATACAGACTTAGAAATATTAATACCCAAAATAATATTTACATTCAGTTTTAGAAGAGTTACATAAACACAATGAAATAATGAAAAATAATTTTAATAATATTTTAAACTTAGAAACGGGTTTTAAAAATAATATCTTATATCAATACATTTAGATAATAATAAATAATAATAACCAGAGTATTTATACTCCTCAACATATCTAAGTTTAATAAGAATTTATTAATCTATACTATTAAAACAAATTATCTCTATGTAAAACGACTAATTTTTTTTTGATGTATTCCTTCCTATATTTTTTTATTTGCATTTGCGATTTTATTTTTTTCATATTCAGCCTTGATTTTATTGTATTATACTGGATATACCTAACGATGAATTTTTAATTCGAAAGTGGTCGTACTGTACATATACAATAGTATTTCCGGCTAAGCTTTTATTTATTTATTTATTTATTTCTATACATAAACTATTTGTTTATTTATTTATATATTAACTTACGAGTGTTGACCTTTTAATCATTTTTAATTCTAATTACACTTTTAGTTATTTTATCGTTAAGCAGGGACGGACTGGGTTAATATTTCAAGCCAGGAATTTTTTTTGCCAGGCCAAAAATTAACAGGGAACCAATGATTTGGTCATAAGTAGGGCTCGGAACTTAATGTATTTGAAAAGTACAAAATATGCACTTATGCACTTAAAAAAGTACAAATATGCTCTAAAAATATGCACTTATATTTTATTTTTGTACACAAAATTTTCATTTGCACAAATATTTTATAAAATTATAAATATAGAAAAAGCAAAGCAATAAAAATAATTCAGATTTTTAATTTTTAATTATAATTTAAAATAATAATAATAATAAAATAGCATCAAAAATATTTCTTGAGTAAAAAAAATGCACTTGTAGAACGTTCAATAATCATTGAGTTATTTTCCTAGAAAAGTATTTATAGAAAATCATCGTATTTCGATAGCAGCTGTTCATATTTGATATTTGTATACTTTGTTTTAGATAAAACTAGCTGTAGTTATAATTTATAAATATATATGAATATATATTATATTAATCAATAAGGGAAAAACATTGTTTTTAATGTCAAATGGAAATTTGAAAAATACGATACAAGAATATCAAGAAAATTTTCTTAATATGAATGTATTTATGTTTTTTATTTTTCAAATTTTCATGCTGAATCTTTAAAAATCATAAAATATGTTCTAAAATCTAAAAATCACTAAATATGCAAAAATGTGCATTAAAAACTTTTGATATATTTTACTTAGTGTCTTGGAATGAATTTCTAACTCGCTTAGCAAAAAACCAATGGTGCAAAAAAACATGCAAATGCTAAAACTTCCGAGCCCTATTCATAAGTATGCAAAAATAATAATGATAAAAAATCATTATTATTTATAAAATATTTTCAACATTTTATGTAAATATATAAAATTATACATAATATATAAGAAATTTTTTTTTTATAGAGATACAGTGTACACATTTTATTATAATACATATATATTAAAATTAACTTTAAAAGTAATATCCTTTTTTACATAATTAGGTTTTTTTTCATAACTTCACTAGGTTCCTCAATTCTATCGATTAAAATATCCTAATATACTATATTTTTAATTTCTAAAATATTATCAGGCCATTTAATCTATTATTGTAATAGGCCACCGGGATTTGTACCGGTGTCCCGCCAGGCCAGTCCACCCTTGTCGTTAAGTAATTATTTACCGTAAAATCAGGACCTTCCCGAAGATGAAAATCAAGGGGGGTGAATAATATGAAAAATGCCTACTATAATTTTTGTACTCAATGTATGTAGTGTAATTAACTATATTTAGTCGTATTTTTACTTTTTAACATGTATATATGTGTCAGTGTTGCACGTTCTTAAAATTAAGAATTAAATTATATATATATATATAGTAATATTTTATATTGTATAATAAGTAGTTATATAAATTTCATTCGTGTGTATAGGTACACTATTTTACGAAATATGTAATATTTGTTTTCCGTAAGTAAAATTAGGTCCTTCTAGGCTATAATGAAACAAGTCCAACAGCTGACTGGTGTTTTTGTTAGGGGGAGGGTGAGACACCCCCCCAAGACCCCCCTTCGGGACGGCCTTGCGTAGTATCCCCTTCGTATTTTTACGGATCATGTTATCCATATTCCATCATTTAGCTTACCTGTACGCTATGCACGAGAAAATGTTTTTTTTTTTTTTATTGGCATAGAAACATTTTTTAATCCTATTGTTATCATTACTGAATTATGTGGGAGTAAATCTAATATTGGCATGGACACAAATATTTGTTTAGAATTATAGTGTGTGTACCGTGTATGTAGTACATATATACACACGCCCACACAAACACATACGTGCCACGTGCCGAAAACATACCCGAAGTAGGTATGATTGTATATAATACAGTCCGTTTGCTGGAGGGCGCGCAGAATTGCAAGGGCGAAGGACATCGCGTATTTCGTATACAGCTAACGGCTGCTTACACGTCTATATGTACGTAAATATAAGTAAATATAGTCGTAAGGCGGTACATATACATGACTGACGATGATTGTTACTGCAGGCGAATGGGGCGAAAAATATTCGGCGGGAATATTCAGTGATATATAGAGTATATAATAAATATTATATAGTTTGCTTATATATATATATATATATATATATATATATGGTACAAATAATAATGATAATTATGATTTAGGTGCACTCGTATCCATCTATCATACGATCGGATTTCCGGGAGTGTAACTAAATATAGGTCCAAATGTCAAGTGGTGTGTTCAGGGATATCGATTTCAGTATAAACTTAAACTCATACACTCGTAACAAGTTTATTTTTTGTATTCGACTGAAAACAATCCTTATACATTATTATTAAGTCGATTCTATTTTCGTTAAAATTTAAAAGAATAATGGGCACAGATACGAACTGTAATGCCTTACTCTGAGATATAAGTATCATATAATGTAGGTGATTCTTAATAATTATATTCGTAAATAAAATACCAATTAAATCGATAAATTATATTTTTAATATATATTTATAAGATAATAAAATGTTAAAAATTAGAACCTATACCTTGTGGTCGAAGTAGATATGGATACGAGAGCATGACATATATTTTTCTTTTTATAGTTTATTATAATTTTTACATTTAATCACTTCCACTCATTACATACAGAATACATATACACATATTTAAGTATACAGAGATTATCAATATGATATGGATAAAAAATGTAGGCCTACTTCTATTAACCTAACCCTCATATAAACTGCCTAAATATTGCATGTACTTTAGTATTTATTATTATGCCTGCATGTGTATTCACAATCAATCCATTTGAATTACATTATAGCCAAATAATTATAAGATTTTGTATAGTTACACTAGTTATTTGCATCTCGAATTATAGATACCTATCTTATTTCAACAATGACCGACTGTCGGTGATCGATATTCTCAATCGCTCTCGAAAATTTAAAGTTTTACCGGATATTTTTGTGTACTATTTCCATACCAGCGATACTGTGATATTGTAATCCCCTAAAGGGAATTTATAAAAAAAAATGAATATTAAAATCTTCGGTATCGTATAACCAATCACCCATTTAGTTAGCTCGTGTTCTTGCAGTTGCAATTGCGTTGCTATGCGGAACGCTTGCACGCATCGTCGTATCATTATATTACATTGTATTAGATTATATTACATTATATTTCGTGCAATTTACGATTAGAATTTTATTTTACCTTTCCGTTCTAAAAACGTACGTAGGTACGCGATAACGTTTGCACGTTGGTATACCGGAGTTGTCCGATTGCGGCCCGAATACAGGTAGTCGTATTTCATGCCAAAAATAAGTATCCTAACACACATTAGTTCATAAAATAGCTTATAATTAATAAAATAAAGTATTTGGAAAATATTTTTGATACTGTATAGGACAATTTTATTTTGTATGTACTTTGTATTTTAGTCAAATAGTCAAATAATAAATTGTTTACAATAAAAAATGATATTAAATACAATTAATATATGTCAATAATAATAATAATAATATGTCAATAGTAAACTAAATTATAGTGAGGGTAAATTTTTAAAACTCATTATTTTTACAAAATTAGATATTTCGAAATTTTTTAATTATGTAATTTGGGTTCGCATAATTTTTTTTTTTTTTGTTAATTTGTTTTGTTATTTTCCGAGGCGTACAAATTATAAGATTGAATTTTTATTTTAGTATCTGTTTGGCATTGTTTCAAATTTTCCGAAAATTGAAATATACTTGGATGTGACGTATAAAATAGTGAATTGAATTTCGAATGGAAGCTTTCACATGCATTCGTTGTCAAACACATACTAGAACTATAAGTAGCCCATATTTAAAGGTGGAAAATCAGAATT